TAGGTTAAGGGGACTCCGAGGTAAACAAGATGTTCAACCCCTGTAAGAGGTTTTGCTGCAGACCTGCCCCAAACTGCCGGAGTCGTCCCATCTTCCTGATCAAGCACTGAACACTTGTCGAGGTTGAGCCTCAGGCCAATGGATTCAAGTGTAAGCTGGAGGGACTGAAGTTTATGTTGCAATTCAGAGCTCGTCGCCGCAAACAACAAGATGTCATCTGCAAACAGCAATGCATGGGGGAGAGCATACTTACGGAAGACAGCGTGCTGACTATCCTCCCATCTGGGAATCAGGCCTGCAACGAAGTAATCAAGGACCCTAGAGAAGAGGTCTGCACTGAATGCAGTCCCCTGAAGCACTCCTCTCTCAAGCCGCTGAGCCCATGATTTGGATCCCAGCTGTAGGCAAACCTTAGTCTCCTGGCACATAGACCAGAGCGCCAGCGCCTCACGTGAAGGCTCTGTGTCTGAGAGATACCTCCAAATCGCATGGTGGGAAAGAGTGTCAAAGGCTTGGCTGATGTCCAACTTGCACACCAACAATTGTTTCCCGGTTGCTTGTTTGAAGATACGGAGCGTAGCTTGGGCCGCTGATACAGCTTCGATCGCCTGTGTGCCTGGGCGACACGCATGTTGTCCGGCCTGATAAGGAGGGAACAGCGGTCGGAGTCGTTTTATCAGAATTTTACAGAAGATTTTCCCAAGGCAGGGCGTTAGGCTAATGGGCCGCATGTCCTGGACTCTGGTAGGCCGGGGGACCTTGGGGATCAGGCAGATTTTACCCGTGACCCAGTCCCGCGGAACGTCGATGGACCCTGTCAAGATCCTGTCGAAGAAGGTCCTGAGCTTCCCCTGGGAGTCCTTCGAGTGGAAGGTTCTAATTGCAGCATAGCAGACCGAATCCAGACCTGAAGACGTGGAGGTTTTGGTGCAGGCGACAGCTGCCGCAATCTCCTCGTCTGTTATAGGACTGGCTTCTGCAGGCGAATGTTTGCGTTGCAATGCTTCCTGTTGGACCTCGGATACCGGGTGGTCCGACGGCGGGAGGGTGTATTTCTTAGCATAGAAAGCACGAACCGACTCGCATGCGGAATCTTCACCCCCAAGTCGCTCAATGAAGCTCCCATCCGAAGATCTTTGCATTGCACTCCTGCGTAAATGTCCGATGGCAGCTCGGTCTCCCAAGCGAGCATCTTCAAGCAGTTTCAGCTTATGCTGTTTCTGAGCTAGGTGGCGGGCTTGAGTGACTTCGGAGGACAGACGAGCCCTTTCCTCAGGGTCACTACAGGTTTTCCTTTGCCGGATCAGCTCCTGTACATGAGGAGGATCGGAGTAACGCAGGGAGGGAACTCGCCGGGAATGCTTACGACACAAATCCGCAAAGGACTCTTGGGAAAACTGAAAGGCGGGATCCTGGGCGGCGGCTTCAAGGGTTGCTGTGTCAGTGATCCATCTACCACAACCGTGTTTAGGTCTAGGGGGTCTGAGTTTGAGGCCCAGTCTCCCAGTGAACACACCGAAAAGTGGCACATGGTCTGATGGCAAAGCTTTACGAAGGTCCTCACGGAGGTGAAAGGAAACTTCTGACATGGGCCACCTGAAGAGTAGCCAATCGATGGTGCTACTCTCACCCCTCGCTTCCCACGTAACGCCGCAGCATGCATTGAATTCCAGTCCTCGGTGTTGGGCAAGGAATTGCAGTCTGGCAAGGGCAGGGAAATTCGGATTCGCATGCAACAAATTCTGGTTAGCATCAACACCTAAAAGGATTACGTCATGGTATCGGGCCAGCGCTAAAGTTTCATCAAGCTGGGCGAGGCAGCTCAGCCAGCTCTCTTCTCATGGGGCAAATGCGCTGTGCCCAACCAATAGTGTCGTGCTTCCAGCCTGCACTGAAGGAGAAAACCCACACCAAATGTGTGACGTGCCACCACCTCCAGCGCAATGTTCTGACGAAACAAGACTGCTGTCGCACGATGTGCCAAAGGCGACTGAAAAATAAAGGCTCTGTAGGTCTCTCCACAAAAACACAGATTATCAGTCTTCCATTCCCCTTCAGGGACCGTGGAAAACCCTCCAACTTCTTGGAGGAAAAGAATATCAACAGGATCCTCGAGCTTATCGAGCAAATTAGCAAGTGCCTGCAAATGCTTACCATGCAAGTTCCACTGTTTGGCCACAAATTCATGAATTCGCTTGCTGGTTGTTGAGGGGATAGCTGCGGCTTTGGGGCCTCCTAGTCAATTGAGGAGTTCCTCCCTAACCTGCTCAGGGTCCAAGGAGAGAAGACGTCCTAGCTGTGGGGCATGCACCCACCAACCGGTTTCGTCCCCATTAGCATTCGTCAGCATCATAGCCCCGTCGGAGGGTTTCTTGTTTTGAACCCAATATAGAACTTGTTCGCCCCGAATCCAGAGTCGCCCTCTCCAATCGAGGTCGATAAAGATTTCTGAGGTATGTTTCAATGCCCACTCCTTGATGCTGACCAAGGCACGAATCTTCTCCCGCTCTTCGCGGCTGCGGTTTCTGGTAATCCAGAGCTTCCGAGCTTGTTGCCCGGGAATGGAGCTATAGTAGGTGTTGAAGAGTGTTTTGAGGGCATTAATGACCAAGCTTTGAACCCGACGTCTCTCGGCAAAATTTTGGTCTGTGTACAACAGCTCTACCCGTGCAAACTTGGTCCTAACAAACGGCACGTGAATGTTATGCAGAAGAGGGGTAGCATTAATCTTCTCAAAGAGTTGCCTAATCTCGTTTTCAACCTCGGCCCTCTTAGCTTCCTCCCACCCTCCAATCACAACCTGGAAGTCATCAACAACCTGTTTGTTAATAGTACTGGCCGTGGTGGACCTGGGGCTCAGATCGGGATGGGGGAGGTGTGGGGGGGCGGGGCTGACCGATCTAGAGCGAGATCGGAGTTCTTTGACCTCAGCCTCCATGTTGTTCAGGCGCTCGAACATGTCAGCCTGTGCTTTAGAGAGGTCTTCCTGCTTTCTATCCAGATGCTGGACCTGATGACCAACCTGCGTAAGCTGGGTCTTGTGATTATGGAGCTCACTCATGATTTCTCTTTGCCCTCCCGTAACCATGTCCCTAAGTTCAGAAACCCAACTAGGCACCGTAGGATCTAGATGGAAAACTTCAGGGGGTTTGGGGTTCGAGGGTCCTGCCTTGCCTCCTTTTCCACCGAAGAGAGGTGGGGCCTCCAACCCTTCTCCGGGTTTTCGCACAACAGCCTTCGGGTCGGTTTTGTGTTTCTTCTCGGGGCTCTCAAACCTATGAGTCTTCTCAGAGGCTTTAGGTTTCAGCTTAGGCAGTGTGAGTTTATCCCCGGGGGCAGTACTTGATGGCAGGGAGGCCGCAGCATAGGGGTTAGGGGCTTCCAGGGGAATCACATCTAGCTCTCCCTTCGCGGCTTTCAGGGCCTCGGCAGCACTCGCAGCGTCCTGGAGGGCCTCACGTCTGGCTGACTCATCATCCTTCAAAAGTCTTCCTGCTAGGCCCTCGGGACCGCGGGGACTACGGGCGAGGATAGAGGGCGTTTTAGGTTCAGGGAGCGCAGGCCCTGCAGAGGCAAGGGGGCTCTCATCGTCACCATCTTCCTCATCACCTAGAAGCTGAGTCTCCTCATCCATCACCGCGTCACCACCGCGGTCCACTGCACCAGACATCTCAAGACCCAGGACGTCCGGGGGGAATCGGGGACTAGAGGTTTAGCGTTTTCACAGGATGAGATGAGGGGGCCAGAGCTCACAACCAGACTTGAGCCAAAATGGCTTGAGCCAAAATGGCCGTAGGTTCTAGGGTTTAAGGGTTTAGGGTTTAGGGTTTGGGGGTTTAGGGGTTCTAGGGTTCAGGGGGTTTAGGGTTCAGGGGGTTTAGGGTTCAGGGTTTAGGGTTTAGGGGTTTGGGGGTTTAGGGTTTAGGGGTTTAGGGGAAATGAGGGTCTAGGGTTTTAGGGTTCAGGGTTTAGGGGCTTAGGGTTTAGGGGTTCAGGGTTTAGGGCTTTATATGTTTGTTTCGGGTTTAGGGTGCGGGGTTTAAGGGTTTAGGGTTTAGGGCTTTACAGGGTTTATGGGGTTTAGGGTTCAGGGTTTCGGAGTTTAAGGTTTTCGGTAGGGTCTTGGGTTCAAAGCCGCTCTCGCAGGTCAATGTAGTCCATGCCTTGAACTACAAAAACCTACTTTTTTGTGGGGTGCCTGTAAACTCTATTTTCGAGTTTATAATATAAACCTACACAGCAAGTAGGTTATGGTATCTTAAGGTTGTGTAACCTCCGGAAAGCACGATTAGAAGGCCCAGGGGTAGCTGTAAGTAGTCCCTTACCTCGGGGCCAAAAAGTACTTGAGCTGGATTGCGCGCTAAACCCTAATCCCTGTACCCTAAACCCTACCTGGGACTCTAATTACCTACAGTTTTATGGGTTCTACCTACTAGTTAAGGGGTAATGGCTGCTAATCTGCAGGTCAAGAGAGTTACAGGTAAACCCTAAACTGCATTGGGCTTCCTCGTTCAAAGATTCTGGAGCCCTTTGCGCTGGTGTTCTTGAGCCGAAGCCCTAAGCATCAAGGTCGCAAATCCCAAAAGAGTCGGCCCCAAGAGCCTAACTTTAACTCTGCAGCGCAATCCCTAGCTTTAACCCCTATAAGAGCCTACCTGTCTTAAGGACTTATATAAAAAGACACTCTTAATAAGGAGCCCCGATAAGGTAGGGTTATTTGGGGTCCAGGTAGCTCTTAATCTCTGAGTCGGAAGCCATGAGCAAGGCAAAGCAGCCACCTGCGGAAGGACCACAGCCGCAAGGTGGGTTGCGGGTCGGATCATGGCTGAGGGATTTCTTGCAGCTACCCATAAGGCTCCATAGTAGTTCCTTTTTGTGGTTTGTATTTAGGATCCTATAAGGTAGCCCCAAAAAGGAACTACTTTGGGAGCCTATGGGTACAATCATGGAATGAAGATTTCAGGCTGAACTACCGGGATGCTTAAGGGTTTAGGGTTTAGGGTTTAGGGTAGGGCTCAGGGTTTAGGGTTCAGGCTTTAGGGCTCAGGGTTTGTAGGGTTCAGGGTTTAGGGCTCAGGGTTTATAGGGCTTAGGGTCTTAACAGGGTTTGAGCTTTACGTAGGTAAAGCCCCAGGCTGCGGGGGTTGGGTTTCGTTTTTGCTAGGTCTAAGGGCTGAAGCTCAAGCTTTCGGAAGCCTAAACCCTGAACCCACGGGCCCCTAAGTAGTTCCTTTTTGGGAGTATCTTATAGGATTCTAAATAAAAGCCATAAGAAGGAACTACTTAGAGGCCTATGGGTAGACCCTAAACCCGGCTGAAGGATGTTTCGGAGGTTTAGGGTGAATTCGGAGGGCCGAGGCCCTGAATAAATCCCAAACCCTGAACCGTAACCCTTTGGGATCATTCCATGATCAATGATCATAATACTGAAACATGGAAAGCATACTATAAATCATACCATGATCATATGGGGGTTTCCTGAAAATAGGGGACCCTAATATAGTACCCTACGTAGTAAGATCCTTATTATAAGGACCCCAAAATCAGGGTACCCTAATTTTCGGAAAGTCCCATATAGTAGTCATGCCAGAGCCATCGGCTCAGTTCCAGATTCCCAGAGACTCCAATATCCCCTAATTAAGGGATATGGTTTAGGGTCTAGGGTTTAGGGGTTTAGGGTTTAGGGTTTAGGGGTTTAGGGGTTTAGGGTTTAGGGGTTTAGGGTTTAGGGTTAAAGGTTTAATATACCTTACATTACAATAGGAACCCTCATAAGATTCAGGGTATATTCCTTAATCAAGGGATATTGGAGTCTCTGGATTTGATCCATGGAGACTCCGAACCTTTCCTCATCCCCTGAACCCCAAGAAAGACTCCAACATAACGGGAAAACCTTCTTTGCTATCCTGTGGGCATAAGATGACAGATGCATATAGGGACTATAAGGGGATACTAAGATCCACTCCGACATGATATGGGGACCTTATTCATGAGAATATAAATGTACTGTATACGGTAGAGGTGTATAAGTACATCGGGACGACTACAGGGGTGTGGGTTTTTACACGTACCAATTACGCCGACCTCTACATTGCCGGTCCGGCGTTGCGGGTAGTCAGGGGTTTAGGTTTAGGCAATGCCCAACACACTTTCACGTGTTCAGGTTTAGCAAGGTTTTACTAGGGGCTTCCCTAATGGTCCAAGTGCCCAATATTCATATACTCTAATACTAACCTACAAAACTGTTATCCGTAACCCAAGTACATGATTATTGGGTCCTTTGGCCCCTTAGGGCAAGGTTTTACTAGGGGTTTTGGGTACAGCTAGGGCTAGGGCTCTCGACCCCTGGAATCCGGAGCGGACGGAACAGCAAGAAGAGCGAAGCGAGCAGGTGGCGCAGTTGCTGCAAGACCCGTCCAGCACAGGTGCGCCCAACCAGCTTGCGAAGATCCCAGAACCTAAACCCTGAACCTTAAACCCTATAATGTTCTTCAAGAGCCTGAATCTGATAATGAAGCCCTCTCTTATATAGATTGCCTACACTAGGACCCTACGTACGAAAATATTTAAGGGGCTTTAAAGGGCCAAGCTAGATATGGATTCCCTACTATGCAGCGTGTTCTGGGTCGGCTCCTAAGCCATCGTAACCCACAGGCCCGAGCCGAAGTCTAAAGTGGCCGAAGCGTAAGACCCTCAGGAGGGGGCTAATGGATCCAGAGGTTTAGGGTTTAGGGTTTTGTCGGAGCGTAGAGATCATCAGGATCGAATGTGGTGTCTAGAATCTAGAAGCCCTAAACCCCAAACCCTCAACCGCTAGGGTTCATGACTTGGATTTCCCGAGTCTGTTCAGAGCCGAACTACTTACGCTTCATGCGCACACCGCAATAAACCACGCGTCTTAAACTTGAAGCCCGTAGCCCTAAGCTTTGTACTCTAAGCCCCGAACCTTGCAAACTCAGCCCTAACCCTTGGACCTTAGACTCTGAACTTTTTTACCGTTGAGAGTCTGCGGTTCACCAGAAACCACGAGAGCCAATATGCCACAACCTGCCTTCCCACTTTAAGATCATGTTAAGCCTGTGTAAGTTCAGGGAAGAATCTTGAGTATAACAGCTTGGTTAAAGCCGGCGTACGGCCCCTATACAACCGTCTAAGACCATGTGAAGCTGATGCAAAGCTCTCAACTCTTTGGGAGAGCCTTTAGTTCCTTACGGGACCCAGATGGGGTTTAGGGTTTTGGGTGTATGGTGCTTAGGGCTTGGGGTTTAGGAACTCACCACCATGCTCCTCAAACCAAGAATCGCGAGTGCCAGAATCCGAAACCCTGCTTCTCCGTTTAGGGTTTAGGGTTTAGGGTTCAGGGTTCAGGGTTTAGGGTTTAGGGGAAGTCTGATTCCCTCAAACGCTTTTTAAATATAGGCCTTCGATTTCGGAACTCCGCAACAGCAGTGTCCTCGTCTTATATGGAGCGGGCCAACACGGCAATGTTGTTGTAGCGTGACTGCACTGCCCTGAAGCTTTGGTCCTAACCCGGAAGGATTGAAACTCTAGATTCGACATTCCCTAGACCCTAAACGCTAAACCATACTCATAGGCTCCTAAGTAGTTCCTTTTTGTGGTTCATATGTAGAATCCTATAAGGTAACCCCAAAAAGGAACTACTTAGGAGATTATGGGTAACACTTAGAATGCACGGGTCAGCAACAGTTTTCAAGCCTTAGGGCTGTCACGGATATTGTGTTTTATGGCGGAGATCAAAAGCCAACTTGGACAGCACCGTAACCTACCAAAGCCTACTTTTTTTTGTTAGGGCCCCTATGATTTCCATATCAGAGTTTATCGTGATTTCCCACTGAAAAGTAGGCTTTGGTGGGTAAAGCTATGGTTTTCCTTTGAGAGACGAATTGACCTAGAAGACAAAGACCCAACTCATCGAGCTGATCCTGCGCAACACGAGGGAAGGCAGTGAAGAAGAGGAACCCCAAACCCAGAACCCTAAACCCTATAAGGGTTTAGGGTTTAGGAACCCAAAACCCTAAACCCCATAACTTTACACCCATGAAGCATTCCTGGACCCTGCAAGATCGTACTGTAATCATGTACTTGGGTTACGGATAGTCGTTTTGTAGGTTAGTATTCAGAAGAGTATGTGATTATTGGGTACTGGGACCCTTCGGGAGGGATGATTATTGGGTACTGGGACCTTTAGGGAGAGATCCCCTTGTTTTAGGGTTTGGGGTTTATAACCAGAAAGGTTTGTAGAAGACCAGGATGAGGGGTTCAGAGCTTCTTCTAAGATGCAGGCGCCTATAGCCTCTAACCCCCCGAACATCCCCAAAGCCCAAACCCTAAAGCCT